TTTTTCTACAAACCATTTACGTGCAGAATGTGCATTCATTAATGTTTCAGCTGTTGTAAATGTTTTTGAACAAATAACAAAAAGTGTAGTTTCAGGATTACATTTCTTTAAAGCTTCTACCATATGTGTTCCATCAACATTTGAAACATAATGAAGTGTTAATCGTTCATGTTGATAATATTTAAGTGCTTTCTGTAACCATAACAGGTCCAAGATCACTTCCTCCAATTCCAATATTAACAATGTCTGTAAATTCTTTACCAGTATATCCTTTAATACTTCCATTTCTTACTCCTTCTGCAAATTTTCCCATTTTATTAAGAACTGCATTAACACCTGGCATAACATCTTTTCCATCAACAAGTACTGGATTATTACTTCTATTTCTAAGTGCTGTATGAAGAACTGCTCTTTTTTCTGTAGTATTAATTTTAACTCCTGTAAATTCTGCTTCAATTTTTTCTTTTAAATGAACTGCTTCACATAATTTAATTAAAAGTTTCATTGTTTCTTCATCAATAAGGTTCTTTGAATAATCTACAAAAATATCTTCAAATTGAAGTGAAAACTTTTTAAATCGTTCTGGATCTTTACTAAATGCTTCTTTCATAACAAATGTTTTCATTTGTTCATATTTTGCTTCAAGAGCTTTATATTCAGGAAGAGTTGGTAACATTTTATTATCAATGTTTAAAAACTCTTTATTTTCCTTTTTATTTCTTCTCTTTGATTACGTTGATCCCACGTGTGTTAGAAGGGTTATTCTTTCGTTTTTTTGGATTTTTTCATTCCTTTGTTGTTCTGTTATCTTTTTTTGTTTTTGATGATGTTTTTTATAGAGAAATTGTTTTTATTATAAATTATAGTATATTTATAATATAATAATAGTATGAACTTTATAATGAAAAGAAAGATAGAAAATCCATAAAAAACTTTATATAAAATGATATTCCTCTTTCTATTAATTACCACATCATTTGGTTTCTTTAAAGTTCCTGGATGTGAAGAGAATCCTGATGGTGAATTTAGTGAAAGTGATTTTGACTTTGTACCAGACTTATCAACTCTTTCATTTACTATAGGATTAGTTATTATGATTGGTACTATTTTATCTGTAATACCGCAATATGTTAAATTGATTAGAACAAGAGATAGTAGTGGGTTATCACCATTCTATCTTCTTATTCAGTTTATAAATCAGGTTACTACAGTAGCAAATGCATGCATAACTAATGCAACATATATTCATTCATGTGTTTATATTGGATTTAGTCAATGTTTTCCAGTATTAGTTTCATGGACACAAATAATGTTATTAGCTATGGTGTATCTTCCCCAAATCTTTTTCTATTTATTATTTTATCCAAATAAGAAAGAGTTTATATTATTCAAATTACCTTTAATATGTCTTCCTATTGTAATAATTATTTCAATCATTTGTTTAGGAACAGTTCCACTTCTTGAATTTACTGATGGAGAATGTGGAGATATAACAGGAGGTTTTGCATTTGTGTATGGTATTATTGCTGCTGTTTGTGTTATTATTCAATGGTCACCTCAAATATATATGACATTCAGAAGAAAAGTTTGTAAATTTTTGAATTTTAATATAATATAATTCTCATAAAAATAGGCTGCTGGGGCTTTAAGTATGCTTATGTTATCAATTACAGCACCAGGAATGACTGTATTAACATTATATATGATATTTATCACGAAACAACCAT